GAGCAAACGTCCACTGCGGGAGATCTTGGCTGCAGACTCCTCGTTCAACTGTTCCCAGAACTTTTCACAGCAAAAGAATGCACGCATGGCTGCAGCACATTCAGCCTTACAACCAAACGGACATTAGATTCATTGCACCTTCAGCTAATACGTAACTATGTGGAAGTCTGCTACCCGCCGGTGAAAAATGAAAATGTCTGGCAGACGGAGTGCTTGCTGCAGATCAATGATTTCTTGAATCGTTTCTGGGCTCAGAAGGACATGGAGAGTGGTCATATGTGTGACAAACAGGCTCCAGTGCTTGTCGGGTTTGACATGGAACCCAATCATGCTTGTCATTTCATCAGTGAAGATGCCCAGGACGAGAGTCTTTCCCTCAACTCTGGAGAAAACAATGATGTTCATCTCAATGTCAGTTCAGATGTAGTGTTTGACCAACATGAGGCAGACTCTGAAGACTTAACTTCGCCGGAGGAGCTTGTTGTGTTTTTGATGAACAGACTATTTCCGGAGGTGTTTGAGGAGGGCAAGTTGCCGGAGGGCCACAACAGCATTGGACAGTTGATCATTGACTCAGACAGACTAGAAATTATACGAAAATACATGGAGGCCAATTTCCCTGATATCCCAGAAGAAACCTGGCTGCAGCAGTGCGTACAACGAATGGAGGAAGCACTGGAGAATGCTTCAGTCAATGGCAGCAGTCGTGACAACCGAGAGATGTATGACACCACTCGTCTGCCTGATAACATCTCCATTGTTAAGATCAGTGATCTATGTGGTTACGAGAAACCAAATCGCAGGTCTACAAAATCATGGCTGGAGCCTGTGGATTTTGACAAACTGGAGATTCCTCCTCCGGACTTTGAAGTTCCTCGGGAGTATTTACTTACTAAGGAACAGCTAAAGAATAACTATGAAAGCAGTTTATCAATTGGGAACTTTGCATCTCGACTCCTGGTTCTCATGTTCCCTGAGCTCTTTACTTACGAGAATGCTCGAAAATACTACAACTGCAGTGGCTCTCTAGGAAAGAAACAGCTGGATCCCCTACGAATCAGTCTCATCCGGCATTACGTCCAGCTGCTTTACCCACAAGCTAAGAACGACCGTGTGTGGACCCTTGAGTTTGTCGGCAAACTTGATGAGCGCTGTAGGCGACGGGATACCGACCAACGACGTTCATACCAGCAACAACAGAAGGTCTGTTCACCTGACCAAGAGCCTGACCCAAAAGACTCGCTGCTAACTGCTGGGCAAATCAATGTTCTCAGTTCGGATCGTCTGAAAGAGGACTTTGAAGTCCTGTCTTCACCCCTGGAGAAAAGCAGCAAGGACTTCTGCAAAATTCCTCTCGAGGACCTTTCAGTGTCCACCCCAGACTTCCCAGTGCCTTCTGAGTACCTGCTCACGGATGCTGAAGTGAGGGAAATTGTCCAACAGAGTCTGTCTGTGGGAAATTTTGCTGCTCGCCTTCTCGTCCGTCTCTTCCCGGAACTTTTCACGCAGGAAAATTTACGGCTGCAGTACAACCACTCTGGGGCCTGCAACAAGAAACAGCTGGACCCTGTGCGTCTCCGACTTATTCGTCATTACGTGGAGGCTGTCTATCCAGTTGACAAAATGGAGGAAGTGTGGCACTATGAATGCGTGCCAAGCATTGACGAGCGCTGCAGGCGCCCCAATCGCAAGAAATGTGACATTCTAAAGAAGGCAAAGAGATCAAACAACACTGTGACTTATTCTTAGACAATGTTCCTGCAAAGCGCAGACCTGTTTTCCTATATTTTACACAACATACCTGTTATTTGCACAAGTCTATAAGCTGAAGCATATTGAAACTTGTTCTTGTTTAAGGTCTAGTTCGGCTGGTCGAGTTCACATCCATGGCCTTAAACAGGATGGTTTCATAGGTGACAAAGTTGGTGATTGAAGCCACTATCACATGACAGTGAAATATTAGTGTTACTATTTATATGCCAAAATATTATTGATGTTACTCTAATGTCTAATTAATAGATAAGATAAAGTTAGCCTTAATCAATTTAAATGTAAACATTTAGTTTTTAAAAACAATAGGTCACTTTAGTTTCAGGTGAGGGCAGAGACGATATATAAATATATATATATTGTTTTAAGTTGTAGCAATGTTGCAGCACTGGCTTTTTCTAATTATCAACATATTGAAGTATGTCCTGCCTTCCAGGAAGTAAATCTTATTCATCTGTACTTAACTATAGCACCAGGTTATATGTTATATATTTTTAAATAAAAATTCACTTCCTAGCCAAGATGTGTTTCATGTTCCTTTTTTATTTTACTTCAGATACACAAGTGAGGGTCAATAGGAGCCTTTACAGTCAGAGAAAATCATAAAAATACCTAAGGGAAGATTTTATCTTTGATGTTTTTCAAGAATACATTTGTGTTCTTTGTATAATCCACCACTGACCATTATAATGAAGAAAAAAGAAAGAAATACAGTTTGGAAACTGTATTTGTTTGGGTTTTGAAAAAAAAAATTCTGCATAAATGCTCTGCAAAAACCTTTTAATATTTCCTTTTTTTTGTCTGGTAATCTTAGTGCAGTCGTACCCTCTGTACCCTTTCTGAAAACTGCTCACTGAAAATCTGTCAAAACTAAATAAGGTATCAGAAACAAGGGATCAGAAAACAACCGATATCCCAAACACTATCTGATTCATCCCACAATGTTATTTTGTGAATCTAGTAAATATTAGAAAAAAAAAAAAAATGCATACAACCAAAACCACCGCTAAATAATAGGATGCGTTTGTGTTCCATTTGTGACCTGTAAAGTTAAAAAACACACCTTTAAGTAGTAAGAAACAGTTATGAGAACTACTGTTAAGTGAATAGATGTGAGAAAGACCTTCAGTTTTTGTTGGGCATAGAAAACATCTCATTAAATCCTCAATCTGCAGTTTCAGAATCAAATGGTTGGGGAGTGGAATAAGAAATAGCAGTTTTGTCCTATTTTCTGATCTTTCACCTCTCAAAACACATCACAGAATTAGTCTTTACTGCTTGTGCACATCCTTTCTGGGAAGTTGTAGGTGTTTCCAGGTTCTTAGAATGACTCTCTGCTTTTCTGCATCTTTTGTCTCTCCGACCACCTTTTTTAAAATCACTCTCTTCAGCAAGACTGTGTCCATTTCCTTGTCCTCATTTAGGATCAGATCCAGTGTATCCCCCACTTTAACCTGTAGGAGGCAAAATTGAATGTTAAATTAAGGTGCTTATACTAATCAGTACTCAGATTAATTCAGTATTGGGAAGACTACCACAAGCAGAGTAGTTTTTTTTTGTTATTACATCCATAATGTTTTCAGCTAGTCTTAGATATTTTTGAGGAAAGTTCTTTCTGATTATTCCACTAGAGGGTGCTGACTCACCATTTTGCTCTTCTTGGTGAGTTTCTGACCATTCAGTCTCAATTTGAGGTTATAGAAAGCATCCTCCACACCACTGTAAATGAGATACATGTGTTAGTAACTGCCACTGGCCAAAACACCACAAACTAAATGTACAAGGAGAGCAATATGAGCAAAGATTAAATATGAACGTCATCAGTCCATTCTCTGATCGGATTCTAGGTAAAAACTAGGAGTTACATCTGCAAATGGAACTGAAAACACTAGTTTGGAACTCACCAGTGTGGCAGGCAGAATTAATCTCTGAACATGATGGACAGTTTCTCCGACTTACTTTCGTGCAATGTCCAATCCGGTCTTCAAAACCAGATCGAAACGTAGAGACTGGACAGTTTTCTCGTGGTCTTTATAGTCTTTTGGCAGGCCTGGGTCATCTGGAAGCTCATCCTCATAATCACTAGCCTCTGCATCTTCCCGTTCCTCCTCCTCCTCTTCCTGCTGCACTGCTTTTTGCTTCCCTTTCTTTCTCGTGCTCTTGAGCCGGGTCTGATGGCGCAACCAGCTCTGCCGAGTGTCCCATGATTTCGGCCACATAGCTGTCCGGTGTGTCTGGGGTGTGCCTGAACCCCACAACTGACGCGCGTGTAATGTTCGCGGGCACCACATGCTGAGACCAGAGGCATGGCACGGTGTGAGCAGCTGCAGGGAGTTCAGTCGGCCTAGCTGCCGCAGGGCCAGCGCCTGCACTGACAGACTCTGCATACTGTAACACTGAACACAGACACAAGAGAAAGAGATCAGAGAAAAGAGGTAACATGCATGCACACTTTACATTCTTAAAAGTGCCTAGATTCAGCTCTAAATGCTCTGGAAATCTTCTAAACCAACAGTGTGTATCCTTTTCCAAATAACTGATTTGAGGAGGGAAATGTAAATGATATTTAAGTACAGACATAAGGAAAAGCATGATATAATTTGTGAAAATCTGACATATTCTCATGACGATAATATCATCCGAATTTGCATAGACAGCAACTCATAATGTGTTTGTACCACAAACCACTGCTCACGATAAAACGTCAGGATGCTTCACCATCAACAAATGCAAAAACAACACTTGTTTGTTTAACAACGACTTAAAAAGATAATGTTACCTAACTGAGTTGAGAGATCTCCCCTTGACTCTAATCTCGAGCTGACCAACGAGCACAGTAAAAACAAACCAGCAGTCGCTGCTGCTGCTGTAGTAGTAGTAGTGCAATTTTACAGCGCCCTCTAGAGTCGGGATGAATTATTATACACAATGCAGAATTATGTTTCTGCGTTGTAATATATATTTAATTATATTTTATCATTAGGGTTTTAGAGATATCATAAAGTTGATTATATATAAGTTAATAAACATTACTATTTTCCCCAGAATTTCCAGAATGCTTTGGGCACTGTGTAGGCTACTATCTATGCATTGCAGTTCTAGTGGTATTCTGCACTACATCTATAGAAGACTAAACGCCCGCCCAGTCAAACGCACTTGTTTCTGTGGATTGGTGGCTCGCGTTGGACGTCTGGGGGCCAGCGGCTTTAAAACAGCATGTGAGCGCCTCCTCCTGTCGAAACTCTCACAGTGGGTCGGAATAAACACAAGAACAGAGATTCCTGCATCCATCTTCATCAACATGACATGCTTTATTTGCATTTCTGTCTTTTGTTTGTCTGCATTTTTAATGGAGGCGCAGGGTACGTATGGCCCCTACTTACAGAACCATAACCAGCTCTATGGAGACCGGCAGAGATCTCACTTCACCCCCAATATGCCTGGTCCTGGACACGGCAACTCCATCAACTTTGGAGGTAATACTTTATTATTATTATTTTTTTATACGGTTATTTGTAACTTTATTATTATTATTATTAAAATCCTGTGAAATCTACACTTGTAATTCTTTTCAAGCCTTGATTGAAATGAATATTTAAAATATGCTAACACTGAGTATTATTATTTTTTTAAACTACTTGAGTGAAATACAGAAGTTATTTTTGTTTGTTTTTAAAATGGCATTAGTGCTCTTCAGGAACAAAAACTAACCTAGCCTATAGTCCCGTAAAATTATGTAATCTACACACAGCTGGACTTTCTATTTTACAGTAGGCTTATTATTAGCAGTTTTTTTGTCTTTCTCAGCAAGTGCTTAGTGATGGATCAGAGACCTTTAGACTTCTAAAACCTTGGGAGCAGTGGTTCTAGTAGCTTCTACATTACAGGAATAATTAAAGCATAAAAATCTTTTTTCTATTGTTCATTAAAAATCTTATTTTTGTTACTTATTTATATTACATTCGCAAAATGAAGGCTCTACATGATTTGTGAGCTTTAAAACATATCTTTCAAAATTGTACTACATTAAATTTGTCCTTTTTTAAAGGAAATTTGTGTCATATCTTTTAATTGAAATCATTAATGTAGCAATGCTATATACTTCCGTCCCCTAAATGATCTTTTTTTTTATTTAATTTTTTTTATGAGAAGTGGATCTGGGGCTACAACATGTTTTTCCTTCAGGTTGACATGTTAAATGTTGCAGTCATTCACAGAGAACCTCTGAACAGGCAATTGACTTTGCCTCACTGCTTGAAAATGGAGACCTTTAGCTCATCATGCTTTTGCTAACAACCAAAAAGTGTCACCTTAAACCCACATCAATATAATATTGCTTTAAACCAATCGAGTAATGGCTTACTTTAATGCTTCTCTCCCTCCTTTTCTTGTTCTAAATCTCTTTTTCATGCTCCCACCTTGTCTTTCTCCTTTGTTTTTTCCTTTTCATCTGTCTATGGATTCTTGGCATTTTTCCTCTCTTTCTGTCTTTGTATTTCTATGTTTCTGTTTACCCTCTCTTTCTCTCTCTCTCTATAACCAAACAAAGCTCATGGCTTTAATCACAGGTTTTACAGCTATCATCATCGCAACCCTCATCAGCACCATCACCAGCGGCCGCCCTGGAAAGGGCCTCCCTTTATCTACCACCGTCCTGCCTTACCTGTCCGGCCCATCTCACCTGTCCATCCTGTCTGGTCAGTTGTGCCCACACCTCCCAAAATTCCGGTGGTGCTACCTGTCCCTACAGTGCCCATGCCACTCACCAAGGTAGCCACCCTACCCCCGCCACCTCCAACACAGACTACAACCACTACAACCACAGCAACCACAACAACCACAGCAATCACAACAACCACAACAACCACGACAACCACTCCAGAGCCGGTCAGTACCCCTCATGGCACACCTGCCCCTGCCGAACCTTCCACTGACCCAGGTAGACCAATCCCACCCCACCGGGTGCAGACGACCAGTCTGGTCCTCTTAAGTCCCTCTTAATAATCGTTCTCTTCTTTTCTTTCTCTCTCTCTCTCTCTCTTTTCAAGGAGAAATCATAAAAAACTGAATTGTCATTTATAGGGGTATAACAATATATTCATGCCACAATTCGGTTTGATACACAATACTGATTTTACAATACGATGCTCTCTCAATACTTGTAGTATCACAATCAGATCAAATTTTACAGTTTTTAATTATTACTTCTAAGACGTATGATAAACATTACTCTAAAAATTGCTAAAAATTACTCATCCTCAGACCATCCAAGATGTAGATGAGTTTGTTTTTTCAACAGAACATATGTGACCCTGGACCACAAAACCAGTCTTAAGTCGCTGGGGTATCTTTGAAGCCAAAAATACATTGTATGGGTCAAAATTATTGATTTTTCTTTTATGCCAAAAATCATTAAGATATTAAGTAAAGATCATGTTCCATGAAGATATTTTGTAAATTTCCTACCGTAAATATATATCAAAACTTTATTTTTGATTAGTAATATGCATTGCTAAGAACTTCATTTGGACAACTTTAAAGATGATTTTCTCAATATTTTTTTTTTTTTGCACCCTCAGATTCCAGATTTTCAAATAGTTGTATCTCGGCCAAATATTGTCCTATCCTAACAAACCACACATCAATGGAAAGCTTATTTAATCTAATTTTCGAAAAATTGACCCTTATGACTGGTTTTGTGGTCCAGGGTCACATATTGGGAGAAATTTATCATTACATTACTTGCGCACCAATGGATCCACCGCAATGAATGGGTGCCATCAGAATGTGAGTCTTCTATTGCGTAATTTTTCTTTATTATACACAATATTGTCACTATCCATCATACATATTGTTGCGCTTTTGTATTGCGATATATTGTGACACAAAATATTGTTATACCTCTGGTCATTTAGCATTAATCAAGCAGGACAAATAGCATTAATGAGGCCATTTTTGCTAATGCCAAGCTTATTGTCTACAGAAATGCAATTGTTTAGCACAAATGGGATTAACTGACTCAAGTTTCTTTCTTTTTTTTTTAGTCACAGCTCTGCACTGCTAACTGAGGAGCCTCTTTTTTCATAAACACTTTTTTTTACATATTAATCTCTTTCAGCATCACACTTTGCACTTTTTAATCATTTTAATGATAATGTGACCCTAATTTTCAATGAATTATTTATGTCTTACAGCTCCAGCAGAGCTCTGCAAGAGTCGTCCTCTAGACCTGGTTTTTATCATTGACAGTTCTCGTAGCGTCCGTCCTGCAGAGTTCGAAAAGGTCAAAATCTTCCTCTCTGAAATGGTTGATTCTCTTGATATCGGATCCGATGCCACACGAGTCGCCCTGGTCAACTACGCCAGCACCGTCAACATTGAGTTCCTTCTGAAAAAGTACTTCAGTAAGGCCGAGGTCAAGCAGGCCTTTTCCCGTATTGATCCGCTCTCAACAGGAACTATGACTGGCCTGGCTATCAAAACCGCCATGGAGCAGGTTTTTACAGAGAGCGCTGGGGCCCGGCCACTAAAAAAGAACATCGGTAAGGTGGCCATCATTGTGACTGATGGAAGGCCGCAAGATAAAGTTGAAGAGGTGGCAGCAGCAGCAAGGGCTTCTGGAATTGAAATATATGCTGTCGGAGTGGACAGAGCAGATATGCGGTCTCTCAAACAGATGGCCAGTCAGCCTCTGGATGACCATGTGTTCTATGTGGAGACATACGGAGTGATCGAGAAACTAGCATCTAAGTTCAGGGAGACACTCTGTGGTAAGAGAATAAAGATCCTATTGTGTTGGGGAAAACAGTTTATGATCAATTGGGTCATATTTTAATTTAATAAAAAAAATTGTATTATATAAATATCTCAAATGTAATTATTAAAAAATATATAAATTATATTTCTATAAATACATTTAATTTGGAATTAAATGAATGCCTCACTGACTCATCAATAATGTTTCATATAATTAATATTATTATTTCATATATAATATTAATTTTTTTTGGTTTTGGTTGATCATTAGTGAAATGATTTTTGCTCATTCAGCTGATTTTGCAGGTTTCGATGCTTGTGCGCTTGGGCACAACTGCCAACATATTTGTGTCAACAACAATGCCTCTTATTTCTGCGAGTGCAGAGAGGGATATGTTATCAACTCTGACAAGAAAACGTGCTCTAAGCAGACCAATGGTTTGTCATAAAAATATGCATCAAATCATTTGAAAAATTTGATGCATATCGTAAAGAATATTTTTTTTGATGCATTCTGAAGAAATGCATCCAGTAACTTTTGTGCACAGAAATGCTTTTTGGCTCAAACTATAAATGCCATATAAAAATGCCATTGAAATCAGACATTTTATCTGAATTATAAATCATTTAAATAAGTATGTGTTTAATGAGATAAAGTGTGCTCTGGAATGTTTATGTTTATGTGCTCTAATAGTTTGATTTTAAAATTGTCATTATATATGCAGTGATAATATTTATGTCAATGATGTAGGCTATAAATTGAGGAGCGAAGGAAAGATTTGTAGCATTTTCAGTACACAGTAAAACACGTCTGTTTCTTTTACAGAAGAGGCAAGAGGAGACCTGACTGAGAATGCCTGCATGTGTGAAGCTCAGATCGCATTTCAGAGGAAGGTTCACAACAGTATACAGTCTCTCACCAGCAGACATATCCTTTCAGATTAATACAGCATTTGTTTGTCACCTATCCTGATTGAATAACTCTCTCAGTCTGATAAACTTTCCATGTCCTGAGAGAGATTTTTTTGCAGCAGTCACATAGCGGACAGGGTTTATGATGTCTTTTAATAGTCATATTGGTTTCTCTCCAAAGCTTGTGTTAATCAGGAAATCAATCCTATAGCAATCCTGATGATCATGACGGGTGATGGTTTTTCTTAACTGTTACTTACTGGATGACATCTCAAACAGAGTGCAGCAGTTTGATCTCCGTCGTGCCTAGAGTGGAGGATGGGACTCTAAACAGCTTGTTCTAAAAAGAAAAAGGAAGAAGAATTAAAAAAACAATTTAATCTCTCATTAGCTGCCTACAATATATCCCATGCATTCCTCATTTTGTTTTTGTTTAACCTTATAGGCTACTTCATATTGTGCTTATAATTATTTTAGATGTCCTTATGTTCTGAGTATGATCTTTGAGTTATCATCATATATCAAATTAACTTTGTTGACACAAAGTGTTACATGTTTTTAAGTACATTTCCTTTTATTTTGGGAAAAAATAGTAAATGTAATAGTAAAATGTAAAGAATACGCACATCATTTTATGTTGTTGTCTATTTTAAATACTTGTACACACACACACACACACATATAAATATATGAACAAATTCTAACAAATAAAAATATTCTTTGATGTTATTTTCTGTTTTGTGTTATCTTTGTATTATGTAATGGGTTAGCTAAAGGCTATACAATATAATAGTAGTGCTTGGTGTGACAGTGACTGTAAACTATTGCAAAGGTTTTTTGCCTTAGCCAGCTCTCTGTAACTAGCTAATGAATACTATTGAATAAATACCAAAATGCTGTTTAAATTACTTTGAGATGGAGTTTAACATGTCACTGTGCAGGAAATAGCAACTTTCCATAATCTATTTTATGTCAGCTACCCACAATCATAATTATGCCTAAAAATTCATTCAGATAATTTTACAATTAATTAGGAATTCATTTGAAATGAAATTATTGCAAAGGATTCAGTAAAAAAAAAAGTATCCTATAAAGTGATGAGTAGAGAATTAGAACTACAAATACCATGAACGCCTTAATCAAACATCATTTCCGGGTTTTGGTTACCTAGAAACCAAGCAAACCGTTTTACAGCAGCGTACATGCATGGGACGTACACCGAAAAATCAAGTGCCTTGAAGAACGGATTTATTAAACATTTCATTTAAAAGAAGACAACGCTGAAATCCAAAAAAGTCATCAGGACTAAAAAACGTTTAGCACCCCCCCCTCTAAAAACCGAGAGAAAATTGGTTCATAACGCTGAGGCAGGCTAGCAAGCTAAGCTAAAGCAAAGATGTTTATTTATCTCAGTAAGAAGGTAATCGTGAAATATTGCATTATAACTGTATTACTGCTAGCATTATAACAATATTACTGCTAACTTATATGAATATTTTTCTCTGATTGAACGCGGGTTTGTTTATCAGGTTTGCTGTTAGTAATTTAAAATTGCTTTTCTTAAAAAGTCGTTTTAATGATAATGACAGCTGTTTCTTCGTATACAACTTGTTTATCAGGGCCGTTGGCTTTGTTGTGTGCCCTCAGATTGCGATTCCAAACAATACCGTTTTAAAGTGTGTGTCTTGGAATAAAGACCAAGGGTTCATCGCCTGTGGAGGAGAGGATGGGCTTTTAAAAGTTCTCAAACTTGAGACTTATACAGGTGGGAACCTGAACTGCCAGTATTTCTATATGGACAGACAAAATATGAACACCAATGTGAATGGTTTACTTCTATATATTCAACATAGGACTTTGAACGAAATCCATCAATCAACCAATAGTTAAGTACATTTATTTTTCTTAGATGATGCCAAACTGAAAGGCTTGGCAGCTCCCAGCAACCTCTCTATGAATCAGACACTGGAAGGACACAGTGGTAAGAACGATAGAGGAGATGTGTCAGCTCAGTGTCTATGCGTTTTGTTTTAGTGTTTGTGTGTTCTGACTCTCTGAGTTTTAATTTTGCTATGCAGGTGCAGTGCAGGTTGTGACTTGGAATGAACAATACCAGAAACTGACCACCAGTGACCAGAATGGGCTCATTATTGTCTGGATGCTTTACAAAGGTACACAATCCCTTAACAAACCATATAGAAAATACACTGATTATGCACTGTTTTTATGTGTGCATGTGCAACCATGTGTGACACTTTTTTTTGTGATTTTGTGTGTCGTCAAACAGGTTCATGGTATGAAGAAATGATTAATAACAGGAATAAATCTGTGGTGAGGAGCATGAGCTGGAATGCTGATGGTCTGAAGATCTGTATTGTGTACGAGGACGGTGCTGTGATTGTGGGCTCGGTGGATGGTGTGCACAGGACTGTTTTTATTATAATTATTATTTATTTTCTTATTTTTAAGTTAAAACACTACAGGCAAACCCTTTTTTTATACACTGGACAAATTTGTGATTTTGGGTTTTTTGGGTTTCATAACGTTGTTTTAAGACTTGTGGAAAGAAAACGTCCAAAATACACTTAGCACAATAAAAGAGTTTTTAGTTAAATTAGATTTACATGCACTTTATTCATTTGTGTCTGTAGATTTCAATTACACTACATATCTTTAAAGGCCATTGTCTCAAAATGAGTTTTTTTTCTCCTGCACTGAGCCAGAAATCTCCACTTCAGCAGCACTCACATACACTAGATTATATTCTGAAGTTTTTTAAAGAGAAGTTTGTTCATATATAATTTTTATTTTTTTATGCAACATTGTATTCCTAAAGACATTTATTCCTGAATTATTTTTCTGGCTGTAACAGTATTTTTTTAATTGAGGAATGATAAAAAGAGATATACAAAATCCCATCTGTAAAAAAAAAAAAAAATTAAACTCTAACATGTCAACAAAATCAAACAAGAATTTTAAACCTGGCTTGTCCAATGCTAAGATTTCTGTTCTGGAAATGCATACAAATTAGAACATATTTAAATAGACAATTTATCATTTGCATATATAAACATAACAGTTAAGAAAACTTGTAATACAAAATTTGCTATTATTAATGTAATCAATCAACTGGTGAAGTGTGGTGATATCTATTCATTTTTTTACCCTATTCACCTGGTGTGTTTTACATTTTTGTAAGTATTTTGTTATAATATTAAATTATTTTATTATTTATTAAAAAGCAACAAATCCATCAAGACATAGGTGTTTGGTTTTTTATTATATAGTTTTGACTTTTCATCTTGTACATTTTATTTGTGTGAATATAAATGTGTGTGTTTGTTTTGTGATCTTGCAGGGAACAGGATCTGGGGTAAAGAACTTAAGGGGACCCAGTTGGCACATGTGGCCTGGTCTCCAGATAGTAAGATCCTGCTGTTTGGGATGGCCAATGGAGAGGTCCACATCTACGACAACCAGGGAAACTTCATTGTGAGTGCTGAGACGCTGGAAACACTCTCTGTTCATCATTGTGTCTTTAGTCAGCTACTTCTACTAGTTTTCCTCTGGGGTCCTGAGGACGTTTTTCACTTTTATCCAGTCAGTTTGAGTAGTACTGCTATTAAAAACACAAATTTGCTCTTATTGTGTGTGTTTATGCCCAGATGAAGATGACCATGAGTGGTTTGGCGAATGCAGCAGGTTCCCTCAGTATATCAGGTATTCACTGGTACCCCGGAACAGAGGGGTATCTGGAGCCAGATTGCCCCTGCCTAGCTGTTTGCTTCACTAACGGGCACTGCCAAGTGATGAGGCACGAGAGTGATGACAGTGAGTTTATGCATTTCTTTATCTCTCTTTGTGCATGCTAAGTGACATACATTCTAGTACAAATCTGAGTAAGATTGTGTGTGCGTATGTGTGCAGGTCCTGTGATCATCGAGACGGGTATGTGGCATGTGGCCAGTATCCAATGGAATCACTGTGGCAGTGTTCTAGCTATAGCAGGGTCACTCAGAAACAGCGGAGCAGAGAAAGACGTAAATGTTGTTCAATTCTACACACCGTTTGGAGAGGTGAGTACACACATGCTTCATACAGACACATTTCAGGTTCTACAAAGATAATATATCTTGTCATACACAATTGTTCGCAAGTTTGGGGTTGGTAAGACTTTTGTAATATTTTTGAAAAAGTCTCTTAAAAGTACAGTAAAAACAGCAATATTTTGAAAGATTATTACAAATATGAATAACCTGTTTTCTATTTTAATTTATTTTACAATGAAATTTATTCCTGTCGTGGCAAAGCTGAATTTTCGGAAGCCGTTGCTCCCGTCTTCAGTGTCACATGATCCTTCAGAAATCTTTTTAATATGCTGATTTGTTGCTCAAGAAACATTTTTTATTATTAGCAATGTTAAAACAATTTCCACAATATTTTTGCTGAGTACATTTACATGGACATCAATATTCTGATTTTAACACGATTAAGACAATACTCTGATTAAGAATCCACCATGTAAACAGAGATTTTTGATTACCTTAATCCAGCTAAAGTCATATTCGAACTAAACACAAATCGAATTAAGACATGTGGAGTATTCCTATTTTAGTCGCATTATTGAAGTGCAGTATAGACATGTACACACCTTAATCACATTATTACCTGTCATGTAGGACTTTTTGACACATTTTGCGACAGGAGGATACACACACATCAGGGGTAAACCGTTTGACGGCAAACAAAAGAGCATGGCTTCAACACCGCCATCATCTGTTTGCACATATAGCATGACAAATAATGAACTGCACTTGAAGCTTTCAGTAAATTAAAAATGAAACACCCAAAACTGTATATGGCATCATAACGAAGACGAACTATATGTTTATACGTGAAATTCTGGAGGGGACGTCGGATGGCGTCGTGTGGTGACGTAATGACGTGTGCCATTAATCGAACTATGTACTATAACATGTAAAACGGGAACATGAAAGGAATATTCTAAAAGCAACTCATGTAAACACCTTAATCGTAATATTGTCTTATTCAGAATAAGGTAAATAATTAGATTACTGATGTCCATGTAAACGTACTGTTGATGCACTTATGTCTGATGTCATCACGTGTCTTAGCACTTGCGGACTCTGAAGGTTCCGGGCAAGCAGATGACTGCTGTATCATGGGAAGGTGGAGGACTCCGAATTGGCCTAGCTGTAGATTCTTACATTTATTTTGCTAACATTCGGCCAGATTACAAGGTAATTTAGCTGTAAATAATAGCTATAAAAGATATTTTTTTCCCTCTCTGAGATAACATCTTACTCTGCCTCTGTAGTGGGGTTACTGCTGTAACACAGTGGTGTATGCTTACACACGGCCTGATAGGCTGGAGTACAGTGTGGTGTTCTGGGACACTAAGAATAATGAGAAGTTTGTGAAATACGTCAAGAGTCTCATGTCCATCACCACCTGTGGAGATTTTTGCATTTTGGCCACCAAAGCGGACGACACACATCCACAGGTACTAAAACAGGGATCTGTTCAGCTTTTTTTCTGATGAAGAGGGATATTGTAAGTTAGAATATTGTTTTAAATCAAATCAAAAGTCATATCTGTGATTTGATCAAATTCTGTTTTTTTTTCAGGAGGACACTGACACTGAGGCTGGATCAGCTATGGTAAAGACACCTCTTATATCCCAATGTAGTAAAAAGCTATGAAATATTTCCATATGCACTCTGATCACAGACACCAGAAAGTTACAGACAGGAGAGATTTAACCATAATACATGACTGTAGCTGTTTTCATTGACCATGAGAAACCTGATCAAACATACAGATGTGACTGTATCATGACATTTTACAAAGTAAGAACTAAACAACTAATAGCAACTCTGAACCAGGTCTACGTTCAGTAGGACAGAGGACAGTGGAAAGACAATGTAATGTAGAATTTAATTATGTTAAAACTGAGAAAGCTGTTCTTAAGCACCAGATGCAACCACTTTACCACAGGCATTTAATGAGCTGTCCAATCAGAACACCTCAAAGGATCGGTCTAAGAGGAGAAAGGTATTATGAACATCAGAAAAAAAAGCCTCTCCGATATTTCCGTAATGCTGTTTTGTGAAGTGTATCCATGCAGTAAAGAGATGTCTGTCTGTCCTTTGTCCACAGTATGCTCTGGTGTTGTGTAACTCCATTGGAACCCCACAGGACTCTAAATATATTGACATCGGTGGGTAAAACATTTTTCACTGTTTCTATATGTAAGGGATCATGCAGATTCAGCAGGTCATTATTGCAAAATAAACTCTAAGCAAGGTTTATGAAGACCCAGAAGCAAATAAATAAATAAATGCACATTTTTGTTGAAATTATTTTATTATTTGAACTAATGTTTCCTGGGACAACAGTATGTTATAGAATCAAGCATTCCAGAGAGATGTGTATTAGTAACAAGAGCCATACATTTTTTAGATTATTTCTCATTTTGTCATTTTTGGTTTAAATTAGGCGTGAATGGTCTTATTAGCCCTAGGCTTGAGGCTTATTTGACATATATGTAATTTAGAACAGTTTCTTTGATGATAAGCAAGCAGACTGCTTGTTTTTGTAATGATGTAACACCAACATACACAGTGTGAAAGCTGCGGTGGGAATCCCGGCTCCTGTCCTGTCACTCCCATAGGCATCCTGCTAAATTCCTCCGCTGGTTGGGAGAGCAGATCTGTTCCAGACATTCAGCCTGATCTCTCTGGACAGATTTCAGAGTCGGAACAGCAACACACAAGAGAATCTGTAGTTACTCATAGAAAAACATATTTTTAGGTGAAATCTGTCCTTGAATCCTGCTCTGAATAAAGGTTTGTGTGATTTTCAACAGCCTTTGAAATCACACAAACCTTCAACAGATAGCTTTGATGTATAGATAAGCTAATGCCACCTGATTTTTTTTAAATAATGATGTAACTGGTTAAAGGAATTTCTCATCCTTCACTTTCCACAAAGCTCTCTTTTTGCTCTCTGTTTGCTGCCACAGACCCCCTGTTTGTCACTATGACGAAGACTCACGTGATTGCTGCATCTAAGGAAGCGTTTTATGTTTGGCAGTATCGTGTGGCTAAGAAACTTACTGCTCTTGAAATCAACCAGGTCGCCAAGACAAGAAAGGAAGGTCGAGAGAGGTGAGGGTCAAAGGTCACCAGTAGTGGGTCACCAGTGCTTAAAGAGGGATTTAAAGGGATAGTTCACCCAAAAATAAAAATTCTGTCATTAATTACTCACCCTCATGTCGTTCCAAACCTGTAAGACCTTAAGTTAAGATATTTTTATCCTTAAGACCTAAGTTAAGATATTTTTGATGAAATCCGAGAGCTCTTTTACCATCTTTTACCATTTAAAAGTTTGGTGTCTGTAAGATTTTTCATGCATTTGAATCTCTTATGCTCACAAAGACTGCATTTATTTGATCAGAAATACAGTAATATTGTGATGTATTATTGCAATTTATAATAACTCTTATATATCTTATATATAAATATATCTTTTTTATTCCTGTGAATTTTCTGCACCATTACCCTAGTCTTGACTCACATGATTCTTCAGAAATCATTCTTGTTACTCACCCTCATGTCGTTCCAAACCTGTAAGACCTTAAGTTAAGATATTTTTATCCTTAAGACCTAAGTTAAGATATTTTTGATGAAATCCGAGAGCTCTTTTACCATCTTTTACCATTTAAAAGTTTGGTGTCTGTAAGATTTTTCATGCATTTGAATCTCTTATGCTCACAAAGACTGCATTTATTTGATCAGAAATACAGTAATATTGTGATGTATTATTGCAATTTATAATAACTCTTATATATCTTATATATAAATATATCTTTTTTATTCCTGTGAATTTTCTGCACCATTACCCTAGTCTTGACTCACATGATTCTTCAGAAATCATTCTTGTGTGCGGAATTGGTGCTCACGGAACATTTCTTATTATTATCAATGTTAGATTGTTTTTAACATTGATAATAATAAGAAATGTTTCTTGTGCTGCTTAATACAGTATTTTTGTGGAGACTGTGATTCATTTTTTCTAGGAATTTTTGGTGAATAGATGTAAATATTGCTATAAACATATAATGGCTCTATAAAAACATATAATTATACATGTTTTTTCACTTTTGAAAAAATGCTTGCTCAATGAATGTATTAATTTCTTTAAATTTTTTCTAAAATTTAACAAATACACAAGTATTAAATGCAGTAATCATTTCATTTTCTGCTAAATATAAAAAGAGGACATAGTGATCATGTCATAATTTTAATTTTGAAAAAAAAAATGAATAAAATGGTACTTTTGTTTTAAGAACATATTAATTAACATTAAGATTTATTTCGGAGTGGAAATATAGCTTCTTCAAAAACTAACTGCATTTGAATTTGTTGTACATGCTTTGTCCCATGTCTCAGACTCAGTGGCTAAATGAAAGAAGCAGCTCTGTGTAATATGTAAGCTTTCATCAGATGAAGTGATGTTCCTTATTGAGGCGTACAGTCTGTGGGCAGGCCTGTCTGCCGGTCTGTCTATCGGGATAGTGTGAGGGTGTGCTCGCTGACGGCAGCACTTTGGAAAAGTTCTGTTCATGGCTGTGTGATGAAATCCTGCGACCCACACACTGGAACGGGACCCAGTGTTCTGTTTGCCTTCCACATGATAGAAATACACTAAGGCATTGCCTCTCTTGCTTATTCTTGCTCACTTTACCTGCACACTGTCTCTTTTCACTCTTGTCTTGCTGACTATTTTCTCTAGGGTTTATCACATCGATGACAGTCCAAGCGGAACATCAGATGGGACACTGAACTTTGCCAAAGCCTTCACAGTGAGTACACTCAGCACAGACACTTACCTGTGGCTCTCTCAGCCTCTCGTGAGAGGATTAGTGGGAAAAGCTGTCATAGAACACAGCTCAGCTAGTCTGTTTATGAATTATTTTATATTTGTGGTATGTTTTCCTTGATCCACACATCTTTATGTGACATCGGTCACATAAGATGCTTCAAAGTGATCCAAATGTCATCTAAACTTGTATTTACAAGAAGTATGAAGGCTGCAGTTCACTTTTTCATATGACAGCCCTGAGAAAAGGGTCATGACAGTGAGATGTTTCTTTTTTCTTTTTTCAGGCCACCAGAGATCAGATCTGCTGCATTACAGCATCAGACAGAATGCTTATAGTGGTACGTCTGATTTACACAAGGACACATGCTTTTTCATCTCAAAGTTTCTGCGTTATTGATATGTGGTTGTGATGTCCGCAGGGCCGTGAGTCTGGTATCCTACAGAGATACAGCCTGCCCAACATCACCCTCCTGCAGAAATATTCCCTTACCTCCAGACCGTATCAGTTGTCCCTCAATTGTAACTCCAGGTCTGATTTTTCTCTCTCTCCTTTTTTTCTCTCTGTTCTTGTCCAATTGTAATTTTATGCCATTTTGGCACTATCAGTGTTAGACTAATCACAAATTTTTCCTGCTTGTATAGTGAGAGATTGTTTTAAAATAATTGTATTTTTCTAGCCGGCTGGCTATTATAGACATTACGGGCGTGTTGACGTTTTTGGACGTAGAGACACGGGCTTCGTCAGGGGATGCAGAGGGCGGTTCCACAACTGGAGACCCATCTAAATTTGAGCGCAAGGATGTCTGGGATATGAAATGGGCTAATGACAACCCAGATCTGTTCTCCATGATGGAGAAAACCAGAATGTATGTCTTTAGAAACCTGGACCCTGAGGTGAGGCATAGAGAAAGAGTTACGTATTCATATGTACATATATGTTGAGTGTTGTGGCATGAGAAAATGACTGAAAAAGCACATAAATGGAAAGAAAGGATGAAAGTTTTGTCAGAGCTAATCCCCTCTTAAGTATACAGGGTTCAGGAAGTGCTGCCGTTTTCAAACAAACACACATGCACACACACATGCCAGCTTCAGTAAATCACAGAGCACATGGCCTGTAGATTAGACCACCCACTGTAGAGATTCAGCAGAGCTTTTTTCTTCATGCACAGAAAGACAGCAGGTAGTTTACAGGTCCAGTTCACACATTATAATTTATAAGCAATAGTCACACAAATGTTATATATATATGTACATTCATAATTAATCAGTTTGAACTTTAATTTAAAAAAACTTCAGTTGCATTTGCAGCAGTATTAGTGTGAGTATTCTCCTGACAAGCTCTTATTTGTGTTGTGTTTCGAACACAGGAACCAATTCAAACGTCTGGCTTCATCTGCCACTTTGAGGATCTGGAGATCAAATCTGTTCTTTTGGATGAGATTATGAGGGTTGGTTGGAATATATTGGATTGAATCAATTCGTAGTTGAATATGAATTTATTTTTAACTTGTGAATCTCATTGAATTTTAAAATTGAGATTTCCAGGGCTGAAAAATTAACATAATCGTATAATGGAAATGAACAAATTCCTAAAAAAAAAGCCTATATATTAGCTGTGCTCTGCTAAATTGTTATAATTTCTGTAAAAGTATTATTATTATTATTATTTTAAATGTTATCTTAATTTGTCAAGTTTTGTGAACCCTGAATATATATATATATATATATATATATTTATTTATTCAAGCATACCTGCACACGGAAAGAGGAATACATGAATGAAAGCATAGGCATAGGCATTACAGAACAGTGTGTTAAAACATACTGTGTGGGTTTGTGTATTTGTGTATGTGTTTAGCAGGACTGTGTTTGTTATACATTTTAGAGATTTAAGAGTGTACAACATGGCAATGTGTGCGTTTCCTGGAAGTGGAAAGTATGAGGTCCAGTTTTATAGTCTGAATGAAGTGTGAGCTACAGTTTTATGATCTGAATGATGATCCTGGCACTGGCAGGACAAGATAACCAATAAGACAGCACACTTCTGGCTTCTGGAGAGCTTTGTCCTTCAGTACCTGTCTGACCATTTAAGAAAGGGAAACCTGGATAAACTGGAATAAAATAAACTGTAATGTTGACAGGCACTTTACTGTGCAAGTATTTATGGTTGTGTTCATTTAAAAAAAATAAATCTTCATCTAAGACAGAGATGAAAGAGAGAACGATGTTACCTGTAGTCGTAAAGCATGGCAGTCTTGGAGTGGCTCTATTGATTTAACGAACCACTGGAGTTTTAGTGACTCTGTCAGTTCTCACAGCACAAGGAGGAATTTCAGATTGGACTCTTGCTACAGAAGCAGGGAGGTAAACCCAGAGATCTAACATACATTGACAGGACTCTTTACAGTTTCACCATTTGTTGAATAATTTAGAAGTGAATCTCTCAAAACCAGTTAAGACCACATCCAGATCACGTTTAACCCCATAATCTAGAAAAATATCTATAAATTACTATATCTTGCTAAATCATATTAATTATATTTAAGTATTTTATATCAGTATTTGCTATGTTGTCTTTAATCTGCATTTTTAAATGTAGGTTTCTTTTTTCTTTCTTTGATTTTGGGGTGAAACAGGAAATGGAGATTCACCTTTTAGTGCATTATCAAGTGAGTTGCTGTTAATACTGTCAGATGGGAACTGGAGAAGGAATCCTACAGGAATATGGTGTAAAGAAAACAAGAGCTGTGTCAGCTCTCTCTTTCAGTCTGTGTGTGTTTGCTTTAATACCAGCGTGAGAGCTCAAAGGCTCTGTTGTTTGATTTTACTCATCCTTAACATGCCAACATGTCAGAGGTCAAAGGTTTTCTTAGCTTTCCATGAGTGCATGAAAAGATCCCGGACACAGTCACTTCACTATCCTTGGCCACTTTTTAGTTCTCTAAAACTGTCCAGGGTGTCATCAGTCAAACAGATTTAGCTATATGCAGCTGAAAGATTATCAGTGTAATTTTGTTTATATCCAGATTTATGATGCTGTTTGCTCTTTGTAAAGATCAAACATGATACAAATACTCCAAACAAATAATTTCATCAGAACTAATGTATCATATACTAGGTGTCATGTAATCTCAAATATGGGATTTAGTGTGAAGTTTCAGACCTCTGGTATTTGACGGTTGAAAATTCAGTCAGTTGTATCTGTGCATGCACTTCCAGGCGTCTGTTGGCAGAAGCAGCGCTGCAGAAGCTGGATTTGAAGATGGCTGAACAGGCGTTTGTGCGCTGTAGAGACTACCAGGGCATTGAATTTGTGAAGAGACTGAGCAACCTACAAAGTGAAGCCATGAAACAAGCCGAGGTAGCTGCTTACTTCAGCAGGTTTGAGGAGGCAGAGAGGATGTACCTGGACATGGATCGCAGGTACACAGACATATATGCATGCTGTCATACACAAACCTAGAAGAGCTTCATATCCTGTGTGAAATCTCTGTGGACAAGAACACTTCACTTAAAAAAAATAGTATTGTTAAATTAATTTGATTAAATTGTGTTGTTAACTAAAACTACTGTTTCAGGAATTTAAATGAAGCTAAAATAAAAAGAATACATAAGTATAAAATTAAAAGCTTCATTTTAAAATTACTCAAGCTAAAACTGAAAAATAAATTGAAGATAAATAATAAAATATAAAAAAACTAATAAAAATGAAAAAAGCACATAACGACATTGCTAAAACTAAAATAAAAATGAAAGGCTAATTTAAAATATTCAGAAATATAATAGTATATAAATAATAACACTGAAAATATAGGACTGAGCAGGATTCAAACTCACATGCACCACCGTGCAACACATACAGTGTTCACCTCACTACAACTACATGCTTTGCTTGTGAAAGTCTCTACTTTGTCTAAAAGTCTCTAACACTGTTTTACAAATGTTACAAATGTCCTTGATTCTGATTGGTTGAGCCGTGTTCGAAGCTGTTGTAAATTACTCTATAAGCATACACCTTTGTTTACGTCTGTGTGTTGCTCGGCAACCACTTTTTTGCAACCACAACCGTTTCTGAGGAACTACATTGTTTGGCGGAATAATAGTGTTTTTATTAATATCATTACATTTTATTTGCTTTGTTTTATTTTGTGAAACCTTGCTGCATATATGGAATAACCGTTTTATGAAAGCAATAAGCCCCGTGAAGCCATGGTTTACACTGAATTTATAACAGCTAAGGGGGTTTTAGGCACTCCGCTTCGTGTCATGCTTGGCTGTTATAAATTCACTGTAAACCACGGCTTCTTGGGGCTTATTGCTTTATTCTACATTATATACTTGTTTTTTCCTTCTGTTTTTTTTGGCTTTTTACCAAACAAAGCCATTCATATTTCTTCTGGCATACAACAAGAAATTACCATATTTTAATTTAATGGAGTACTAAATTAAATAAACTACATGGATGGATGATTTTTAGATTGAAAAAAACACTCAAATCAATTTCCAAATGTGTCTCTGATGGTTTGGATCTGTATTTTTGTTTATGCGGTTATGGCCAACATTTTAATTAACTAAATTGAAAAAGCAACAGAAATCAAATTTTTTTTTGAATGCTCATCTTTCATCTTTCTCCCTCTGGTCTCTAGGGATTTGGCGATAGGTTTGCGTATAAAGCTCGGTGATTGGTTCAGGGTTCTGCAGTTGTTGAAGACCGGATCAGGTGACGCTGATGATGCTCTTCTGGAGCAGGCCTACAACGCCATTGGAGACTATTTTGCAGACAGACAGAAATGGTAGGCTGTTTAAATGCGGGTGTGCATATGTGTTTATAAATATATGTATATGATTTGTGTGTGTGTGTGTCCAAAGCCACACAGCTGAATTTCAGTGTCATACACTTATTTAGGCATAAGCCAAATAAGGTCTTTAAGATAAGTAAATTAATTTAAGTGTGTCCAAATATTTTCTTTTACTTGAAAAATTTTATTATTTGCGTGTTGACAGAGACTTGAAGTGTGTGTGTTCCACAGGTTGAATGCAGTGCAGTATTACCTTCAGGGTCGTAATCAGGAGCGTCTGGCTGAATGTTATTATATGCTGGAGGACTACGATGGTCTGGAGAGACTTGCAAACTCCCTACCAGAAAACCATAAACTGCTACCAGTGGGTGCTTTCTCTTTTTTCTCTCTCTCTCTCTCTCCCTCTTTCCAATTCTTTCGAAACAGACCAAGCAGTACTGTTTGGTTCAGGTTGTCTTAATGGCTTGAACTGTGCTTTGTGTATGTAGGACATTGGTCAGATGTTTGTTACCGTGGGAATGTGTGAGCAGGCCGTCAGTGCATTTCTGAAATGTAACCAGCCCAAAGCAGCTGTGGATGCCTGTGTGCATCTAAACCAGGCGAGTGTTTATACTCAGCTTGTTGTATGGTTTTGATATGTTATGAATGTTATAGGTATAACATGTGTTAATAATATATTAATTGTATGAATTATATTAATATTACAGTATATTAGGGCTGTCAGTTGATTTAAAAAAAGTAATTCTGATTAATCTGTTCATTGTAGTTAAAGCATCTGGATCACACAGAGCAAAGATAAAGACAAAGAACAACAGTACTCTTTTCTTGTCTCATTTGATAGACAACTCAGAATATATATTTCTCACACCTAAGCGCAAAATAATAAAGTAATATTAAATAATATATTAACTTTCTGGATACTGTTATGAATTAATTCATACATATATTTCATCTAAGAGGTTTATCTAAGAGCCACGCTTGTACAAATGATGCTGTCCTTTACTTGCAGGTGATATTTAATATATATTTTTTAGTCTCATAAATTAATTAGACTGTACAAAGTCTGCATAAAGCTTTACATTTGTTAAACTTCTCTGGATATCATTTCTAAATAAATGATTCAGTAAAGAAGGTATTTTCTCTAACAAGTACTGATCTGAAAAACAACACACACAGACACACACTTGTGCTGTTTCTTTTGCAACATTTCTGATCAATCTTTAGAAATCACACAATGAATTAAATAATTATTATCCGTTATCTGCGTTAAAGACTTTGACAGCCCTATTTAATATGCATTTCTCAAAAGACCTCTTTCTCCCTTTCTTCACTGAATACATTCTGACTCACTGCCTTTTCTTTGGCTTTTTTTTTTGGGCCATTTAGAGATAATGATGCTTCTGTCATTAGTTTAAATGAGAGGTTCAGAGAGATCACAGTGCTCATCATCAGTTCTACTCAAAGATCCAGATGCAGCTGTAACGTCATCACTCTCATCTGCTCATGAAACCTGTCTGTGATGAATGTTTAGATGTTTGATGATGATTTTAATTGTGTGCACATTTCAGTGGAACAAAGCTGTTGAACTTGCCAAAGACCACAGTATGAAGGAAATTGGGCCTCTGCTGTCCAAATACGCCTCGCATCTGCTGGAGAAAAACAAAACTCTAGAGGCTGTAGAGCTCTACAGAAAAGCCCATCACTTCCTGGATGCTGCCAAGCTCATGTTTAAGGTATGTTAGTATCAGCTTGTGTAAGAAAACATTGTCAGTGGGGATCCTCAAGTTATGAAACCAGTGATGATGGAATTGCAAAAATGTACACTCTTCACATTTAAAGTCAGGATATTTTGTAACTGTAAAATATTTTTTATTTCACCTCAGATCGCAGAAGAAGAGGCAAAAAAGAGAACACGGCCATTGCGAGTGAAGAAGTTGTATGTGCTTGCTGCCCTGCTGGTGGAGAACTTCCACACCCAGATCAAAAGTTCACAGCAAAGCAAAATCAAGGGCAAGAAATCAGAGGTACTCTAAAAGTACATGTTCTAAACTCTTGTTACCTGTTTCCAGGTGCTGGATGTAGTTTAGATTTAGTACAGGTCTAACCAAATACAGGCTTATTATCATTTGTGATCTTTGCACAGAGCTGTGGTAGTTGGTAACTCTCGGTGCTGTGGTCTGCAGCTGCAGCCTGACTCAGAGTCCGACAGCATCGGAGGGGCAGGAAATCAGTTGTGATGAAGGGCTCATTTACAGCCTAGTGGTGGGTAATTTGTGTGTGTGATTTATTTCAGGCTACCAGTGCATTAGCAGGGCTGTTAGAGGAAGATGAGTCGTCTTCAGACAGCCGTATCCTGGATGACGCCTGGCGTGGGGCAGAGGCCTATCATTTCTTCCTGCTTGCGCAGAGACAGCTATACGAAGGCAAGGTGGACGCAGCCATGAGGACAGGTAACACTTAAAACCCATGCAATAGCATATACACACTTACTATTGGAATATTACTACATTATTTAGTCAATCAAAGAGGTTTGAATTTTAAAATGATTTCCTGTCTGTATTTTTCGGGTGCAATCTGTTGAGGTTTACCCAAAATTATCGCCATAATATAATAATTATTCAGAGGATTCTGTGTGTTTGTGTGTGTGTGTGTGTGTGTGTGTGTGAATGCATGCATGGTATGTCTGGCCTTGTCTGCGAACATAAAGTGTTAAATCGCTTACCTGAACTGAGAAAACAAACTCAAAGTGAAGTCTTTATAGCATTCAGTCCACACATACACACTCGCAAAAAACGTTTGCTTACATGAAGGTCTAGACAAGATGTTTAAACCACAGATTACATCATATCCAGGACCACCTGGACAAGAGGCGTGCATGCATGTATGTGTGTGGGTTAATGTTTCTGTCTTTGAGTTAGCAGTGTTTTCATTGCATACTAATATTAAAATACTAAAATCTTAAAACGATCTAATGAAAGCTATTTAAGTTAGGGATGCGCTGATATTAAAATTCTGAAAATATATATTAATAAATTGATCATTATTTTCATGTCATGACAGATAACCAATAAATGGCCAATATTAAAAATCTATATAATTTTGGCTTAGTAAGTTCAAATAAAACCGTAAAAACACATATCACAGTTGTTTAAAGTGCTACAAGTGAATTTAGGCATCACAACTATATTGTTCAGTATGAAAATCAACATTCAGTGAGCAGCAAAGGTGTCTCTTATTAAAATCTCTTGTTCTTCAAATGTGAAGAAATGCAATAATTGCTTTATTCTCTATTTCCAGCTCTCCATCTCCGTGACTATGAGGATATTATCCCTGCTGTGGAGATTTACTCTCTGCTAGCCATCTGCTCATCTGCCAACTGTGCGTTTGGTACTTGCTCACGTGCCTTTATTAAGCTGGAGTCTCTGGAAACACTGACTCCAGATCAGAGGCAGCTTTATGAAGACCTGGCCCTGGAGATCTTCACCAAACACAGCCCTCGAGACACCCGGCAAAGCCAGCGAGACAGTCTCACTGATGGGTAAGACAGGAACCTAATAGCCAGATGTACTTTACAAGCTCACTGAGTGAACAACCACTGGAAACATTCTCAGGCCCCGTTTAACCGATAACTGAGGTGGATCCTTCGTTACGGCTGGTAGACAGAGCTGTGAGGTCACATTGACGCAAGTGTAAAGTAGTGTGAGATGAGTGGCGTAAGGGTCAGCATGCATGACGTAGGCCCGTATCACTGCAGGGTGCCGGGTGACTGGAAATTTCCAGACCATTCAAAATATTACATCAGCACAGTTCCTCCTGTAAACTGTAGTAAAACAGTGGGAAGATTATTGAATACACTACCATTGAAAAGTTTGGAGACAGTAAGATTTTTTTGTTTTTGAAAGAAGTTTCTTATGCTTACCAAGGCTACATTTATTACAGTATTGTTGTGAAATATTATTTCAATTTAAAATATCCGTTTTCTATTAGAATTTATTTTAAAATGTAATTTATTCCTGTGATGGCAAAGCTGATTTTCAGAATCATTACTCCAGTCTTCAGTGTCACATGATCCTTCAGAAATCATTCTAATATGCTGATTTGGTGCTCAAGTAACATTTCTTATTATGTTATCAAAGTATTTTAGTGCAAACTGTGATATTTTAGCTTTTCAGGATTCCTTGAGGAGTAGAAAAATCATAAGAACAGCATTTATTTAAAAAAAAAAATTGTAACATTATAAATGCCTTTACTGTCACTTGCTGCATCATTGCTGAATAAAAAATAAAAAATAAAAATCTTACTGACCCTAAAATTTTGAACAATATTTTATCTTTTTTTCCCTCATTGAAGCTGTCTATTATCATTCATTCTCTGCAAACCCCAGAAAGGACATATACACATCACACACATTTACAGGGAAACATTTTCCAGAGTAAAGTTATTTTAATAACAGAGTTAAGTTATTTTAAGGGCCAGATAATTTACCATTATACCACAATATTTACACCAGTAATAAGGTAATTAGTAATCAGCACAAAACTTAAATGTGAGTCAGTGAAATAACTGTCCCAATTATGTTTGTAAAACAGCATGTGTGATGATGCATTCTGACTTGATGAATGAATCTCTTTCTCTTTGTCTTTTTTTTCTCTCTTTTTATTATTTCCTTTCTTTCTCAGGCCGGAGGGCAAGTTGCCCACCTGTATAGTGACAGGAAGAGTGATATCGGAGTACCAGTTCTGGATGTGCAGTGTGTGTAAGCACTGTGCTGTGGAGCAGGAGATCACACAACACAACTTCTGTCCTCTCTGTCACTCCTCAGTGGGATAGATTTTCCCATCTCTTTCCCAAGCTCAGCTCTTGCTCCATCAAATGTCAGTCTTTTCGATGTACTGTGGGACACAAACTCTGCCACAAGAGTAGAAGGCTTAAAATATATGTAATTTGGATGTTCAAACAAATGATCATATATATATACATTTTTTATATATATGGCATTTTCATGTACTTATGTATATAATTACATTATTTTACTTTATCTAAGAAAATTCTGCACAAAACAGTGAAGACATTCTTATGTGAATCATCACATTCCACTCAATTTGACAATTTAAATAAAAATTAGTTAAACATTGTTTAACTCTTCGCAAAATTAGGAATAAATCATCTGGCTAATAACTGTATGTGTGTATTTGTGACGTTTTTTAGTAAAAAAAGAAAGAAATGGTTTCAGTGTATTCTGTTATTTTAAAATAAATGTTCCTATATTCACAAAAAGACTAAAAAATGTCTCAAATCTCTCAGACGTTGCTGTTCACTTTTGTCAGTTCTGATTTGAATTGAGAATTTACATATTTAATTTTAGGCACCTGTCCAGTGAAACTTTAGAGAAAGTATCTGTCGTATGTCACGCAATGCTGCTCTCTACAGTCGCTCTGGAGAACTGACGCTTCTGACAGAATGTATTAGTTACTTGTTGCATACAGGTGCATCTCAATAAATTAGAATGTCGTGGAAAAGTTCATTTATTTCAGTAATTCAACTCAAATTGTGAAACTTGTGTATTAAATTTCAATGCACACAGACTGAAGTAGTTTAAGTCTTTGGTTCTTTTAATTGTGATGATTTTGGCTCATATTTAACAAAAACCCACCAATTCACTATCTCAAAATACATTTATAGTGTTTTCGCTGAGCATAAGTGACAGCATTGTTCTTTATTGGACAAGAGTAGAATAGTTTTTTCTTTACGGTTTTCTTTTTTAGGGTGAACAACATATTTAAAAATACATACTTTAAAGCAGTGGTCACCGACCTTTTTAGGCCCAAGATCCCTGACCTCGGCCTTTATGAAAGACAAGATCTACCTATTGAAGAATTGATAGAAAAAGACATCCCAGATTGTACTTCAAATTTGAGGCCTTTTACATAGTATTTTAATTAGTGATGCGCCGATCATAGCTGATTCAGAATTTAGATTTTCTTTGCTTTCTTTCTTTTTTTTTTTTTAACTAGCAAATTGGCTGATTCTTCTACTGATATTTAAGCAAATTTATTTATTGGCTATTTGCTTTATAACAAACAAACTGGCTTCAAACAAAAATATCTAGCCATTTGAAATTAGAGGCAACCACTGCATTTTAATCACGATCTGCACGGGCAGTTGTTTTTGATTTGATTTAGATTAATTTCAGGATTTAAAACAAAAAAAGAATGGTCTGACTTTAGGTGTTATTTATTTATTTGCTACATAAAACATCTGCGCGAAACAAAAACATCAGGTCTGAATGAGACGCACTCTCTAGACAGGATCTTTCAGCAAAATTCGCATTCCAAGGGACTAAATATCACGTTATTGGGGTCGCTTCAACCCGCGGACATGAACAACAGCCCGCGGCAACAGCGTTAAAAGTAACGTTAGCCCAATCCCGCAGGAAAACCGCGGACCTGGCAACACTGCTTATGAACCGACCGCAATAGCGTTTCCTTGGTTACCGCTGTAAACAAAGCAGAGCCGCGCTTTATACGGAAGAGAAGAAAATGCCATTGCCATCGAAACTTTTCTCAAGACAGTTCCCTTCAGTGATACATTAATATAACCCCAGAAATGTAATGCATTTTTGTACTTATTTTACTGTTATTTTCGTTATTTTACTGTTATCGCGATTGACGGGTTGGCGACCACTGCTTTAAAGAGTAACATTAAAACGGCGTACTCTTGACGGCCTCTAGAGGGCATCATCTGTCAATTCCTCTCTGCACGTGCGACAGGTGCTGCGCCAGGGAGAAATACTTTCACTCAAGAAAGTGAACGTGTTGACAAACCACTCGCTGTTTACTTGGTATAATAACTTGACACTCCTTAACGTAACTGCAGTAGCCTACGTCGATGCTTGATATACGCCCGTCCTGAAACAATTTATTAAAATTACACACTTGATGCTCATAAAAGCAGCGACGATTCTTTTCCCTCAAACTTTTAAGTAGGCTTATATGCCTTTTCTTTTCTTTTCATTTCTTTTTCTTTTTCACAAAATCCATCCGACCTCGTAACTCGAGGGATCTGTAATCTCACTCTTTTATTAGTTTTCTAATCCTTTAACTGGCCTTCACGGGTGGTCAAAGTGTCGGTGTCTAGCCCTGATTTCACCTCTCTGTCCTCCGATTCTTTTTCACTCAATCATTGTTCCTCCGTGGAGCATGTGGAGGCGCGTCCTGTAACGCAAAGCGCAAGCGCGTTTCAGTTGCCACGGGCCAGTGACGCACGGACGCACAGCTGCCCCGAGGCACCGCGAGTGCGTTAGCGGCACACAGTCTGCCAAGTGTCCCACCCGACACAGTCTGCTGCGGGACATGGGGCAAACACTGCGAACGAGCGCACGCCGGGCTCGACTCTACCAAGGAAGGCGCTGGAAGATGGCAATATCCACACCGAACGTTTTTGTAGTGCACTGATGCCGTCAGAAAAGAAAGGAAAACAGGTAAACTGTGACATTTTGCTTCTGTGTAGTTTGAGTTACGCAGTGTTGCTTTTGAATTTAACTTCGGTGCTGTCCTTGGTGCTGGAGTTCCATCAGGCAGAACGCGCGGACTTACACACACCTTGCAGAAACTCAAATATGTCATATAGAAATTTGATGTACCCAAATTTAACAGTTTGGCGTTTTGAGGTCTAGTGGGAATGTCGTTTTTCTATAGTTACTTTTGTTGCTATCAAATCTTATTTACGTTTTATGTATTGCAAATTGAATTATTACATACACAGGTGTAAAAGTCTGAACCGTATTGAAAATCTGGGGTTGAAAATCTTAATCAAAGCTTGAAATAATACATGAAAAAAGAAAAAGGAAATTATATGACATTTAAGAAGAAATATTTAAGTTTTTGCACCACTTATAGGTCACCAGTCAAATAAGTATGTCACTATGTACAGACAGTTTCCATTAAATTACAAGATGCTCTTTGGATGTTTCTCAAATCATGCTGGAGAACGTGATCATCGGGTTTTACACAAACTTGTGGAGTTCATGCTGCTGCCATTAAGGCAAAAGAGGGACACCAAATACTTTCTGAAAATCAAACACATATGCTGACTTTATTATAATATTTAATATTTTTTAATGCAAAACAATTCTACATTTTCAATTCAACCTCTCACTTGATTTTGAAGATAGTTTTTATTTCTTTTTATTTTACTTATTTAATAAAAAAAGCAAACTACAATTATTTTCACTAGTGGTATCAGACTTTTAGACCCCATTGTAAATGTTTCATCATCTCAGAATAAAAATATCAATTTTTCAAACTTTATAAAAGCACTGCACATCAGGACTGTCAAGTGTTCACTGAATGTCCTGAAATCTTGACATGACTTTGTGCCCTGCAGTACTGCTGGGAAAGAAAGGCAGAGTTAGTGTTAAAATGCTCATAATGATCACTGATGTTTTGTTTACGACACTGTACAAAATCAATATCCATTTGCAGCTATAAAGGCTGATTTGGGCTCCAGAATGCTTTTATCCCAGTATATAATAGATTAGCTGTCTGTCTTTCTGTCTGCATATTTAAATCTGATTAAGTTTTTGTCTTGTCATACAGTTGAGTACAGTACAGTGAATAATGGCAAGGAGTACTGAAAAAAAAAAAGATTACATATTTTTGATGAGCAGGAATTTATGTTATTTCGATAGCAACAGGTCAGTGCTAATCAGGCTTTTCTTTTCCTCCATTATAGGCATGCAGTCATAGCTGAGTCTCTCCAAAACTGCTTAGCCCAACAGTCCCACTTACTCCTTCATGTTCTGGCATCCATCATGGTGTATGGGCAGGTCCTGCACCGCCAAGGCCCCGAGGAGAGCTTCATCAACCTCAACGTCGGCGGCTTTAAGCAGCAAGTGGAACGAGTGGTCCTCCAACGCTTCCCCCACACGCGACTGGCCCAACTTCTCTACTGCAGCTCAGAGGCTGCTATTCTCCAGCTTTGCGACGACTATGCAGCAGCCGAATGCGAGTATTATTTCGACCGAAATCCATGTTTTTTCCGCTACGTGCTCAATTTCTATCATACCGGAAAGATCCACCTGATGGAAGAGTTGTGTGTGTTTAGCTTCAGCCAGGAGTTGGAATACTGGGGCATCAAGGAGCTTCACCTGGACGCTTGCTGCAGCAACAGATTTCAAGAACAGAAAGAGTACGCAGGAGATCACGACTGGGGATACGACGATGACCTGCAGAACCAGCTGCAGGACAGCTTAGATTCATCTATGGAGGAGCTGTCGGCGTTTGACAAAGACCTGGAAAAGTTTGAGGGCACCTGGTGCTCCGAGAAGCGTAAGGAACTCTGGCTGCGACTGGAAAACCCGGGATATTCGTGCTCAGCGAAAATAATAGCGGTGCTTTCACTGTGTGTGGTACTGATGAGTATCGTGGCCATGTGCGTTCATAGCATGCCTGAGTTCCAGCAGGTGGACGTTAATGACAAAGAAGTGGAGAACCCGGTGTTGGCTGTGTTCGAGAACATTTGCGTCCTCTGGTTTTCTATCGAGTTCATCCTACGATTAGCTGTCACACCATGTTTGCGCAAATTCCTAAGCAATGTGCTAAACATCATTGATTTCGCCTCTATTGTTCCATTTTACGCCACGTTGGCGTTCGAAACCATGGATGCTGCGGAAAGCGAGGAGCTTGCGAACGTGGGAAGGGTCGTGCAGATCCTGCGCCTCATGCGTATCTTTCGCATCCTCAAACTGGCGCGGCATTCGGTCGGGCTGCGTTCGCTTGGGGCGACGCTCCGTCACAGCTACCATGAGGTCGGACTCCTCATCCTCTTCCTTTCCGTGGGAATCTCCATTTTCTCAGTGCTCATCTATTTTGTGGAGAGGGAGGACGATGAGTCAGAACTGCAGACCATACCGGTGGGCTGGTGGTGGGCGACGATCAGCATGACCACGGTGGGATACGGCGACACGTATCCCATCACGCTGGCTGGGAAACTCATCGGCACCTTGTGCATCATTTGCGGCCTGCTTGTAGTCGCCCTTCCCATCACTATCATCTTCAACAAGTTCTCCAAGTACTACCAGAGACAGAAAGCCCTGGTGGAGTCCGACCAGCTCCAACCAGAGGACGAAAAACTGCCAAATCTCAGCATGCCTTTTCTTTACATAGGAGACCTCTACGGACAAAAGATGACTTCTCTGGTTTGCAGCACGTCCTCCAAGAGTAGCGCAGGGAGCGAGGGAGACGTCACTGATGCTTCCAGCATTCAGGATGTTGAAATTGTTTGCCCTACTGGGATGCCACAGGCTGACAATGCAACATAAATCAGGGTTCCTGATAAACATCCTTGATTAGATCTGCAGCACATGTTGAGGAAACACTACAGGACCCTAAGACTCAAGGCTTTTGTTTCTTACTGAGCTACTCCTGGACCTTCAATCAAAAGCACTTTTTCTCTTTAGTTCTCAGGGTGAAAATATCTCAAGCTTTCCATTATTTATGGATCAGAACCTGTTATTGGAAACTATACAACAGGCTAGCAGTAACATTGATGCTCTATACCCAATTAACAGCACTGATTGACAACTGTTTTTTTTTTTATTCTTCGGACAAGCTGTTCATTTAATTACAAGCCGTTCTGCAGTGCATGTGGGAAAAGAACTATGCTTAAATGTTTTATAGGCAATGACAGCATCTAAAATGCTGGACTTCAGATGGCATGTTGGTGTACACCATCCTCCCTAATGTGTCCATCAGAGAGGGAAGGACGGAAAGAGTGCATGCATATTTCAACAAGAGAGAGGAGAGGCCACAAGAGAAAGGAGAGAAGAAAGCAGGAAAGAGATGTTACAGTTGAATAAAGTGTTGATGTACAGTAGATTTAAGTCTCTGCTCTTTGTTCTGAAATCACTGCATGGGTCTGTAGAGAGATGAAGGGTCTTAAAAGAAATGGTTGACCCCAAAATGAAAATTATGTTATTATCTACAAAACCTCATGTCGTTTGAAACTTATAGTCTGTTATTTTGATGTGAAACACAAAAGATACAGCTCTTTTCAGTATAATGCAGTTTATAGTGACCACTATAAAAACGCCTGGCTCCATAAGGGGCTTAAACACAAGTAAATAAACAACGTGAGAGTAGTTCATAGGAGTTGTGCATTATTCTCTAAATCTTCTGAAGCTGTACAATGTCAGCAGACTAAAATTTTTGTTATTATTTTTTGAAAGTGGACTATTAATTTGAGTACCATAATTGACGTCAGTAAGTTGAATTCTGATTTGTGAAAGAATCGGCATGATTTGTATACAAGTTCAATGGAAAGAGCTGACTCAAAGGAACGATTCGTTTATTGCTCCAACTCTCGAGTTCAGTTCACTGACTCAACGATTCTGAAAAGACCTGCATGAATTTTTTTCAAAATATCTTTTTTTTTTTTTTTTGTTCCACAGAAGAATGAAAGTAATGCGGCTTTGGAATGACATGAGTAAAAGTAAGTAAAAGATTAAAAATTTTTTAAGTGCACTTTCGCTTAAATCTTTTAAATTGTAATCTTGTTAATCAAGTGTTTCTTTACAGTGAGTTTGTCCCACCTTCTCATATGTCTCAAGAGTAATGCCTTATGCATTATCGCATTAGTGTATTATCAATAATGCCTTGTTGAGCATCAGGTTCAGCTATCCTCTGTCCTCTGCACGGAGGGAACACATTCTCTCTCCATCTTGCTGTCTCTCTCATTTTTTTGGAGTGACTTATGTCAGTAGGCTGTATTAGCAGCAGGAAGAGAGGTCCAAATGTTAGGGCTGTCTGCCACAGGGGATGTATTACTGCTGAAACGGCATCCGTTTGGCAAGTGGCTTTAACTTGGATAGATCGGTCTCTGTTTGAGACGTGCCCATTGATCAATATGTCACACTTGTGTGCTCAAGTGTTTAAGGGCAGACCTGAATGTCTCATGAGTTACACGAATGGTGCAACTGACCCTTTTCAGCTTCAGCAAACTCAGAGATTTGGTCAAGTTTCAAGGGGAACGTTACTGGAAATAGAAAAATGTCCTTCAATACACTTCTCATACACACTCTTATATTTATACTGGGGCTTTGCAGTATCCTTAGCGATTTTGCAGTTGAAAATGCTTGAAAAATACAGAGTGAAATGTGGTTATTGTTTGTTAGTATATAGGAAAAGGTTTCAAGAAATAAATTCCTTTTAGAGATTGATTACATGCCGTGTACTGTGGCAGGGTGACTCCTCTCCCTCCTCCAAGCCAGAAATATGAGGCCACCGCAAAGAGTCACATTTCTTGTTCAAACCATTGGTTTGGACAACTCACACAAACCTGAGCATGTTGTTTGCAAAAATATATATGCAATCACAGCAGTTCCTCTGACGTTATCTTTGTTCTGTTCTGTTACAATATGAGCTGGTGGTTTAGGATGTGGGTTTTCACCCATGGGGAAGCAAAACCCACAAACCAGCGAGTTCCCACATCTCTATGAATATGGCACTTAAGCCTGAATTACTTCAGAAGTGAGCTGTGCAATTTCTGCATCACTACTGGCACCAAACACAATTGCAAAAACAAATTCTCAAGACTCCCCATTTTCTGTTATTTGGAGAAAGATATTTGTTTTTTGTCTTGTGCCAGAAATACACTACCGTTCAAAAGTTTGGGATGAGTACGATTTTTTAAAAATTAATTAATATTTTTTATTCAGCAAAAATTAATTTAATTGATTAAAAGTGACAGGAAAGACATTTATAATGTTACAAAAATTTTTTCAAATAAATCTATTTCAAACAAATATTCTTCAGAACTTATTTTAATTTGTATAAAAAAATTATAATGGCACAAAAATATTAAGCAGCATTTATAATAAAAATATATGTTTCTTGAGCACCAAATCAGCATATTAGAATGATTTCTGAAAGATCATGTGAAACTGAAGACTGGAGTCATGACGGATGAAAATTCTGCTTTACCATCACAGGAATATATTACATTTAAAAATATATATAATTTTTTTTTTAAAGTAATGCAGCCTTAACGAGAATAAGAGACATTAAAAATCTTACTGACCCCAAACATTTGAACATGTAAATGTACATTTGGTCAATATTTTAGTCAATTTGAATCTGCATTTAATTTTAGTTTGATGAAAACAGTCGTAAGCAGGACAACGACATGATTAGATTATTTGAAACAGTAATATTGTTTCTAGACTTTTCTTCTTCAAAAACGTTGTTAGTGTACTGTTAATACAATAATCTAGCAGTGCTATTTTCTCCTTGACATATTTAATTCAAAATTTTATGTATCATCATGAAGTTTTTCCTTTCGTCTTTATTTCATCAGAAAACCCTACGTCAATGAACATTTTTGTCAGTAATTTAGTTGACAAGATTAACACGCCAAAGCGCCTCTGCTCAAACAGACCGCAGAATTTACACATTTTACCTTTAAGCTGCTTATGTTGATGGCTGGTCATAAAACTTATTATTTGTTTGTTTGGGTGATAAACCGGCTTAACAGCACCTATAAATGTCCAGTTAAATTGCTTTTTAATATATGATTAATCCAACTGGTGCATAAATCTCCAGCCGAATGACAGTGTAACAGGTGAGTTTGGAAGCATAACATCTTCAATGCTAAATAAAGTCCTGTCTCAAGCAATTTACCAACTCCTCTTCATGGGTCAGTTCACATCCTGCTCTCTCTCTCTCTCTCTCTCTCCATTTCTCTCGTCTCTTGCATTCTCTTCTTTTCTTTCTTACCTCACACATAGAAAATTGGATGGAATCATTTGTCAGTAGCTGAAAATAGAGTAAAAAGGCTGTGAAAAGAGGTGTCTGAAGCTTTGGGGAAAACAGAGAGGTGATTTTTAAAAAAGTTTTGAGGTACAATAAGTATCACAGTGAACAAACCAACATGGTGACTCGACTCCAGTGTTGGGAAGGTTACTTTGGAAATGTAATAGGTTACAGATTACAAGTTACCCTACTTAAAATATAATAAGTAGTGTAACTTTTCAATTACTTTATTAAAGTAATGTAACTGATTACATTTGATTACTTTTTGATTACTTTTCTAAATTTCCAATGTTTTCAACTATTAATAATTTTTAAACATGTAAACCCGGCAGGGTTAAACTTACAATATGTGCTCAACACTGATAACTGTCAGACTTTCGAAATAAATTAAGATTATAATATTTTAATTTTAAAGGAGACATTGGATGCAAAGTTTCTTACTTTGCATATAAATGTGTCTTAGCAGTGTGTGGACACAACCACCCTACAATGACTCACTAACCATTTGGAAAAGTAATGTCACTTTTACAATGATTACCAGAAGACAGCATGTGTATTTAGACACCAGCATAATAATACTGATAAAAAACGTGTATATATAATAGATTTATAAACAAGTGGTTCATGCTATCTATTACACTGATAAGCTAAACTGAATGATTCAATACAATCTGTGACATGACAAAATCAATACAGCTACCTTGAAAGCGACATTCCCAATCTTTTTGTTGATCAGTGAAACTGATCCAGTGACGGCATTCCAACTTCTGCTGAAGCTGTACTTACAGCTCAGAACAGTCATGTTTCTCACAATCTGAAGATTGCCTGTCAGCCGTCAGACCACTTTACTAAAGCCAGACCCATCTGTTCCGCAGGGCTGATATGGATGTTATGGATCTCTGGCTAGGCCGGTGTGATGTCATGTTCAATCATCTGGAGTTCTAGAATTGAATTTGGAATGTTGAAGAGGTCACATGCTCGGCCAGTGTTCCATCTCCCCCTTTGGCCTTCAGCTGGGTCTACACTGGATCTACACTTCACAATGTTCTCATCAACCGGAGGTCACCTGTCCACATAGTATGGATATGTATTGATCTTATTTCCTTGTTTGAATGCTTAACAAAATAATTCACTCAGAAGTTATTCATCATTTACTCAACCTGTAGTGTCATTCCAACCTTTATCATTTTCTTTTGTTACGCAAAATTTTAAAGATTTTTTTTTCTCCATATAACACAAGTGGATGGTAGTTTGTACTGCCAAGCAAGTCTGAAGTCAAGTAATTGATTATACAAATATTCATTTTGGGGCACTGTTTTCCTTTAATAGGAAAAAGCCAAAGAAAAGTTTGATTTTGCCAGTTTTATATAATATTAAAAAGTTGACAGCAAGGTTTATGAAATGTTTTTTTTTTTTTTTTTTTACATAAGTCTCTTATGCTTACCAAGGCTGCATTTATTTGATAAATATACAGTAAAACAATAATATTGTAAAATATTATTACAACTTCAAAACTGTTTTCCATTTTAATATACTTTAATATGT